GTCTCTATGTTAATCTATGGGTCTCTATGTGAGTCTATGATGTCTCTATGTGAATCGATGGGTCTCTATGTGAATATATGGGTCTCTATGTGAATCTATGGGTCTCTATGTGAATCTATGGGTCTCTATGTGAATCTATGGGTCTCTATGTTAATCTATGGGTCTCTATGTGAATCTATGGGTCTCTATGTTAATCTATGGGTCTCTATGTGAATCTATGGGTCTCTATGTTAATCTATGGGTCTCTATGTGAATCTATGATGTCTCTATGTGAATCTATGGGTCCTCTATGCGAGCCAAATGGGTTTGCCGCGTGAGCCGCCAATGGTGACTCACTCCCCACTCCGCTTTGAAAACCAGCGGCTTTATCCGGACACAAACCGAGGCTCTCAGAGGCGCCAACTCAGACTGGTGATGTCACCCCGGGCAGGTAGTGGCCTCCACCTCTGTTGATTTCACAACACCGGACTGGTGATGAGTTGCCTCTCCCACCCCCACTCTAATTAACCTTTCATGCCGCAACCCGTGAGTTGAATAGTTACAGGGCACCGCAAAGTGTTTTGTACAAAACACGTTTGCTTTGAATTGTGGCCAATTTTCCACTTTGCTTCAAAACCCCCACGCTGTTTCCTCATCCTCCTCCTACCCACGCTCGCTCTCTCTCTCTCCTCTCCCTTTTCGTCTCTCTCTCTCTGCTACAATAAGCAAAGTTTCTATGGAAGTTCTCTCCCCCGCCCGAGTTAATTATCGCCAACAAAAACAAAGCCCCCCCCCGCCCCCGTATAGCCTTAACAGACTGTTGGGGCAAGTGCTGCTAGCCAGCAGCAGCACTTTTGAAGGCCGGCACGGCGCATGAAGAGGTGGCCACAGGGCCGGATTAAGGCGTGGGGGCTTTAGGGGCAAGTTGGAGGGCTTCCAGAGATGACGTGAGAAGTTTCTTTCGTTTGTGAATGCTGCATTTGAATTTGTTGTTAGCCTTGTAAAAGTAAATTTAAAATTTCTATAATTTTGTTTTCTCTTCTTGGTTCTTTCGGTAAAGTCACGTAGAAGGGAAATAATAAAATAATACAAATAAAACATAATTAAATAATTCTCACGACGTTTTGGCCGCAACGCAAGCAGCTCAGGCGAAGAACAGGTCTGTCGGAAAAACAGCGTCTGAATGAACTCACTGAATGAACTCATTCATTCATGAAGTTCATTCATTCATTAAGTTAATTCATTCATGAAGTTCATTCAGTGACTTCATTCAGACGCTGTCTTTCCGACAGACCTGTTCTTCACCTGAGGACGGCTGCTTGCGTTGTGGCCGAAACGTCGTGAGAATTATTTTATTATGTTTTATTTTTATTATTTTATTACTTCCCTTCTACGTGACTGTACCGAAAGAACCAAGAAGATGAATCCCTGCAGTCACGAAAGCTTTACATCGAAATGTAACTTTGTTTTCCTTTTGAAAATATTACTGGGGGGAGAGGGGGGGCTCACAGTACCTGCAGCACAGGGGCCTACACAATCTTAATTCGGCCCTGGGTAGCCATCACCACACCCGGCCGCCTTTGTCTCTCCCGACCGCCGCTGTTTACACAGCACACCAGCTGCTCACTCATTTGAGGCTGCGTCGACCTAGGGGGAGACCCATAACCGATTCGGTTATGCATCACTGGCGTTGGGTGACCGTGAGCGAGAATCGGCCTTAGTTCCCTTGGCTCCTGGAGCCTTGATTAAAGACCTCGTGTACCTCGGGAATACTTCCTTTTCAAACATTCCCCACCCACTCGTGGCACAAACGCTGCACTGTGTCCGTGCCAGAGCGCCCCCCCCCCCCCACACACCACCCACCTTCCCCCCACCGGACATGGCTCACCGGAGGTTCCTCGTAACGGAGATTGCTCATTTGAATGGGAATGTATTGTTTTCTAAACGTGTCTGATCGTTCGAGAATTACTTCAGTCAACCTTCACCCGCAACCCTCCACTCCCACCGCTCCCACCGCTCCCCCCGCTCCCACCGCTCCCACCGCTCCCCCCGCTCCCACCGCTCCCACCGCTCCCCCCGCTCCCCCCGCTCCCACCGCTCCCCCGCTCCCACCGCTCCCACCGCTCCCCCCGCTCCCACCGCTCCCACCGCTCCCACCGCTCCCCCCGCTCCCCCCCGCTCCCACCGCTCCCCCCGCTCCCCCCGCTCCCACCGCTCCCCCCGCTCCCCCCGCTCCCACCGCTCCCACCGCTCCCACCGCTCCCCCCGCTCCCACCGCTCCCACCGCTCCCACCGCTCCCACCGCTCCCACCGCTCCCACCGCTCCCACCGCTCCCACCGCTCCCACCGCTCCCCCCACCGCCCCCATCATTCCAACCCCTTCGTTCCCTACGCCCTCACCGTTCCGTCAACTCACTCCGTTCCCTCCCCTCTGCTCCCTCAACCTACCCCACCGCTCCCCTCTGCTGCGCCGCACTGTGAGTGGGTGGATGAGTGACTGGGCGGCTGGGAGAGTGGTTACGTTCATGCTGTGGCTCGCAATCGTTTTTTGGCCTCTGCTGTACCCTCCCCCACCTACCCCCCCCCTCCCTCTTGATTAATTTAGTTTCAATAGAGTTCCAACCTTACCTGACCCCAAACACGTGGTTCTGAGAAATAACCGTGCGAATGGTGAACATCAATACTTTAAATCTTAAATTAAATCATTTCGTGACTGCAGGAATTCATATTCTTTGGGTCTTTCGGTAAAGTTATCGGGAGGATGATGACGATCGCTTGTGTTGTGATTGAACCATCTACGTGACTTTACCGAAACACCCAAAGAATATCAATACTTTAACCAAATGTCCGTTGCGTGAGGTATCCCAACCAGCTAGGCAACTGGAAGCGAAGAAAAAAACCATGCGCCTTTTGGCGTCATCTGGTCCAACACCATGTGAGACTAGGCGCTAAGAAAAGCTGTCTCGGGTGTGGACCAATCAATTTCAAGGACAGTGCATACATTATCAGAGATATGTTTTTGTTTGCATTCCGACCGCAGGTATTGTGATCAATGCAAACATAACTCCTTGTAAAAAAGGTGTCAGTTTTTTTTTGCCAGATAAAAGGGTAAAAAAACAATTATCATATTTTTCTACTTGCAAATGAGGTTCCAATGGTGTAAATGCTTACCCCAGCTCTCATACTCTGATGGTTAATTGTCCTTGAGTTGTGCGCCTTTTGGCGTCATCTGGTCCAACACCATGTGAGACTAGGCTCTAAAGAAAGCTGTCTCGGGTGTGGACCAATCAACTTCAAGGACAGTGCATACATTATCAGAGTTGTGTTTTTGTTTGCATTCCGACCGCAGGTATTGTGGTCAATGCAAACATGACTCCTTGTAAAAAAAAAGTGTCAGTTTTGTTGCCAGATAAAAAGGGTAAAAAAACCAATTATCATATTTTGCTACTGGCAAAGAATGTTCCAATGACGTATCCTTGTTATTTTATATTGGCCCAGTCATACACTAACATTCGCCAATGACTTCTCACCTCGTGATATCGTTTCACACATTCATAAATGACCTCACGTGGATCCGCTGGGACATTGCTACGTAGTCCCCCCCCCTCCCACTTGTAGTTAGTCAGGAGGCGAATGAGTGTGTCGTATTCGTAGGTTTTGTCGGTAAAGTCACGTAGGTAAAACATTAAAATTAATAAAAGTAAAATAAAATAAAAATCACGACGTTTCGGAGGCAACACAAGCTTCCGTCTTCAGGTGGAAGACGGAAGCTTGTGTTGCCTCCGAAACGTCGTGATTTTTATTTTATTTTACTTTTATTAATTTTAATGTTTCACCTACGTGACTTTACCGAAAAAACCTAAGAATATGAATCCTTGCAGTCACGAAAGCTTCAAATCTAGAATGAATGAGTGTGTCGTGTTCGTGGGCGCGTTACTCATGAAGTTGCCGCTGGAATTCGCCAGTTTAGCCTCAGCTCTGACACCGAGCTTAGCCTGGAGTGGTTGCACATCTCGGTCATTCGCACACGATCCCCGCTCAAAGCACCCCGTAGCACCTGCCACGTGGGCGAAGTGGGAGTGATACGAAGGCGAGTGATTGGAGGAAATCGGACAGCGAAGTTTGCGGGAAAATCGACCCGCGGTAAGTAGCGATCGGTCCGCGACAAGGGGTGAGCGATTGGAGCGAGAGTCGGTGAGTGAAGATCGGAGGCTGTGGTGCCACCGGTGATGAGAGTCGCCTCCGAACGCGGGGGCCCACGAGAGGGGATTCGAGCAACTGGTTCAGGGACGTCCACGTGGTTTTATTTGACGGTATTCATGGTGACGACAGAGAACACACGACGAACACAATCCAGCGAACAATCAACATCGACGGCCTCGTCGCACAATTAGTACACGTCCTTAACACACGCCTCGATCGCAAGACTTTGTTTCTGCTGCTGCTACTGCTGCTGCTACTGCTGCTGCTACTGCTGCTGCTACTGCTGCTGCTGCTGACGGCGGCGGCGTCGTGTTTGGCCATGAGATGAAGACCGCACAACAGTAAGCAGCGCATATTGTTAGGTTTTTTCGGTAAAGTCACGTAGGTAAAAAAAAATTAATTCATAAAAGTAAAATAAAAATAAAATAAAAATCACGACGTTTATTTTATTTTACTTTTATTAATTTTTTTACCTACGTGACTTTACCGAAAAAACCTAAGAATATGAATCCTTGCAGCCACGAAAGCTTCAAATCTAGAACTAAGCAGCGCACCACCCTGTGCGCGGGTGCCGCTCCTCTGCAGACAGCGACACGGAGACACGGTCAAACAACGTCAACGGCTCGGCAAACAATGTGTCAACGGGCGCTGCCCCGAAACGCGAAACAAATGTGTATTAGGCGACGTTTCGGGCAATGTCCCTTCTTCACAGCGGCGAGAACGGACAAGGGCCATTGCCCGGAACGTTGCGTGGTTGTCCCTCTGAGGGTGGCAGCGTTTTGTTGACGCGTGTGGCCGTCGCCGCGTGCCACGTGCAGCGGAACCCGCGATGGGGCCGTGGGGTCACTGCTGCCCGCGGGGTCACTGCTGCCCGCGGGGTCACTGCTGCCTGCGGGGTCACTGCTGCCCGCGGGGTCACTGCTGTCCGTGGGGTCACTGCTTCCCGTGGGGTCACTGCTTCCCGCGGGGTCACTGCTGCCCGCGGGGTCACTGCTGCCCGTGGGGTCACTGCTGCCCACGGGGTCACTGCTGCCCGTGGAGTCACTGCTTCCCGCGGGGTCACTGCTTCCCGCGGGGTCACTGCTGCCCGTGGGGTCACTGCTTCCCGCGGGGTCACTGCTGCCCGCGGGGTCACTGCTGCCCGTGGGGTCACTGCTGCCCGTGGGGTCACTGCTGCCCGCGGGGTCACTGCTGCCCGCGGGGTCACTGCTGCTGGTGGTGTTGATGTTGGTGGTGGTGTTGATCGTGGTGGTGGTCACGTTGCACATGGGGCTATGGAGGCAGCCGCAGCAGCGAGGGCTAGGTGGATCACCGCACACACACACGCACACACACACACACGCACGCGTGATATTGTCGTGAAACTCCCTTCTCCCCGTGGGTGGGCGTCAATGAGGAGCCATACCACCCTGGCTCGCCAGTAGAGCGCGGTCGAATTCAAGTGCGGACTAATCTCCACCTGTTCCTTCTGCGCGGGGATACAGCGTTGCCCCCTCGCACTCCTCACCTTCGCCCAACAAAAACCACGACAAAGACAACTCCATTGTTGAGTTCGAGACAAAACCCGTATCCCCACGCGCTTTCATTTTGTCTCTTGCCGTGTCATAGCCCCGCGCCGTATCGCCTCGGGGAATGTCGCGGTCGAAGAGCGCGTCGACACAAATTTAGTTTTTTTAGTGTTTTGCTTTGTTGGTAGCAAACTTGGCGCACCGCTGAGTCGGTCAGGTCGGCTGAACGACCGGGTCTGGCAGAACCCTCTCGCGTGTCAAGGGGGTGCCCAATAACGGTGCGTCGTGCGACGTAGTCGGGGAAACGTTCGCAGTGTATTGGTGTTAACTACTCGCTGTTCGCAAGCTGTGAGAGAGCGGATCGTAAACAGTCAGGGTCAAATGGTGTGAGGTAGGATCCAAACGCCAGATTGGGAAGGACCAATCGGAGGGTCCCACAAGGTGGCCGGGGATTGGACAACCCGGCCACGAACAGGTATAAAAGCCGGAGCGCTGAGAGCTCTTGGCCAGTTCTGCTACACGAAGACCCAAGTCAGCCGAAGACATCTAGGACCCTGGACCAAGCCCTCCAGCTTTTATCAGGGCTCGGGCTCAGAGTAACCAGTGGTCGGGGAGAGATCCCCTAGGTCCAGCCAGAGGACGCTGGGATAGCAGGGAGATTAGATAGCCTGCAAGGTCCGGAGGCTGTGTCTCCTCAGGGTAACGGGTGAGGGGACCATATACCCCCTTAGTGCGATAGGGACTGTGTATTTAGATAATAAACAGTGTGTGCCATAAAGAAGTTTACAAGTCCGTCCTTTACAACACTACAGCAGCACCGGAACGCGTGGGCACATTCGTTTCAAACAAACACAACATTTACGTCGAAATACGTCACGCGAAAAAAACCTTCCCAAAAAAATGTGCGTGTGTGTGCTCCGCTCGCAACATGGACTTATCGCCTCTCTCACAGCCGTTCACTTCGCTGGGATGCACACCGGCTTACCACATCGTCCGTTGTGATGGCGGCAACACCGTTTGAATCCATTGGAAGGGAGGGGGGGGGTGACAGCAGCACGATGATGATGATGGGGGGGGGGGGGGTGTCACGTGTTGCGTCCTGTCGGGTGGGGGCCGCACGTCAGGTGACCGCACTGAAGGGCCCATCAGTGGCCCATCAGGGCCCACCAGTGGCCCCCACCCTCCCTGCAATGAAGAACACGGACCCACCTGGACACCTACCGAGCCGCCGAAGGACCTTACTCCTATATACCCGGCTACACAGCTACGACTACTACGACTACGTAGATCTCTACCACGTCACGGCACGACACGGCCACGCTTTGTCGACACTGAAGCCACCGCGAGGCACGCACAGACACGCACAGGCACTGATGGATGGAGGAGGCCCATCGTCGTTCCACGGAAGCCATCAACAGTGGACGCGCGCTACGCAACACCAAACGCGTCGGCCGCGAGCGAGCAGAGGGTGCGGTGACCCCCACGGTGACCCCCACAGTGACCCCCACGGTGACCCCCACGGTGACCCCCACAGTGACTGTCACGGTGACCCCCACGGTGACCCCCACGGTGGGGAAAGCCACGGCTCTGAGAACAACATGCAGCGCTTGCCGAGAATTCACACCTTTTTTTAACCACTGGCCAGTTTCGTCTAAGTGACTACATTATCAGTATCGTAGTAACTACATTAGCAGTGGTGTAGTGACTACATTATCAGTGGCGTGGTGACTACATTATCAGTGGTGTAGTAACTACATTATCAGTATCGTAGTAACTACATTATCAGTGGCGTGGTGACTACATTATCAGTGGTGTAGTAACTACATTATCAGTATCGTAGTAACTACATTATCAGTGGCGTGGTGACTACATTATCAGTGGTGTAGTGACTACATTATCAGTGGTGTAGTAACTACATTATCAGTGGTGTAGTAACTACATTATCAGTGGTGTAGTGACTACATTGTCAGTGGTGTAGTAACTACATTATCAGTGACGTAGTAACTACATTATCAGTGGCGTAGTAACTACATTATCAGTGGTGTAGTAACTACATTATCAGTGGCCTAGTAAACTACTCCTCCTGTCCTCATCACGTCTACGCGTTTTGAACACGAAGGCTTTTCGCGACCAATCTCCGGCGAAGCGTCACTCTACTCGAATTGTAAATGTCGCGGATGTTACTACCCAACGCAACCGTGTGCTGAACTAGCAACTAATTGGCACTCTTTGTTTACGTGACAACCCTGAACTAATTGGCTGTGTCGGGTGGTGGCGCGTTTAACAACACGTTGATATTAACACGATCTAATCTAAAACACCTTTCATGAATTAATACCGCGTTTTAAATACTTTTTTGTTTGTTATTTTACACCGTTGTTGAAAACATATAATGGTTGTTAAGAGGGGGCCCCAATTCGTAGCTTTGGCCACCGCCGCTCGGGGTCAGGGGTGGTCAAAGCACCCACTGCTCCCGCGCTCGTTACGCGACTGCCACCGCCACATCGGCAGGCCCTCGCTAGCACGAGTGGGGGTGTTTATTCTCTCCCCTCCACCGGCTGTTTGCCAAGCCGAGCCGGAATCAAACTCTGAAACCCCTCCACGCCGCAGCCACCTCTCAAAACACCGCGATCTGGTTTGGGGCCAAGCAGGGCCAGGCTGGCACCGTGCTTGCTCGGCTGTATCCGGTCACGTGTCTTGGCGCGAGCGGCTCGCAATGGCAAAGCCGATGAGATCACATCCTGCTTGGGAGTTGACCGCTGTTGATTTCCGCTTTGTGTGGAAATCAACAGTGGTCGCCCAATGGGGGGGCTGTAGGGGGGGGGCGGTGCGGGGGGGGGGGGGTAGTGGGGGGGGGGTGCATGGTGGGGGGGGCCCCTGTGATGTGGGTTCCCAGTAAGTTTGACCGCTCTCTCTCTCTCTGCTTGTTTTGCTGATTGGTAATTTTGCGTTGCGTTGCAAAATTAAATAAGACGAGAAGCAGTGATGTTTGCTTTGGTGAGTGTGTGGTCGGTCTGAATACGGACCGCCGTGACCCGCCCTTTGCACGGGAAACCCCGCGGGTATTACAATGATACAAAATAACGGTGTAGAATAAGTTAAATTGTCTTCTTGGTTCTTTCGGTAAAGTCACGTAGAAGGGAAGTAATAAAATAATAAAAATAAAACATAATAAAACAATTCTTTTTATTATTTTATTACTTCCCTTCTCCGTGACTTTACCGAAAGAACCAAGAAGATGAATCCCTGCAGTCACGAAAGCTTTAAATCGAAAGTTAAATTGTGTTAGCGCTGTGCGGAGAGAGAGAGAGACGGTGGACAACTCCGCGGAGCGAGAAGGCGGCATCAGCATCAGCAGCCACGCAACGAGGAGCCGGACGCTACCCAACAATTGCCCACGTTCTGCGGTCCTGTCTGTACGACTGGGGGGGGGGGGGGGGGGCGCGTGATCGGCCAATCGTCGCTTTGGGTCTCAATCCGTCGATTGACTCCCCCCCGCCACCCACCTCACCCCAATTGTATGTCGATTAGTGTATATTAATGTACGGGTACAATGCTATTGTATAGTATTTTTGTGTGTCTATGGGTCTCTGTAAGTCCATGGATACAATGCTATTCCATACTCTCTATGTATGTCTATGGGGTCCCCTGTAAGAATATGGGCACAATGTTATTCTATAGTACCTATGTAAGTCTGTGGGTCATGCATTACGAAATGTTTTCTATGTATGTCTACGGATCTCTGTGTAAGCGTGAGTGTGTGTGTGTGGGTTCTGTGTGAGTCTATTGTCCCGTTGAAAACGTTCCGATAATTGTCGGTCAAGTCGGCAAATGTGTTCAATGCGCGTCCTGTGCTATCACGTGGCCTTCGAGCACGTGGCTCCCGTCAAAAGTGTCGAGTCCGCGTCTCCCCGTGTCCACTACCAGAGCCGGACTCGACGGTGAAGTGGTCCAACAGCCGGAGGCCGCAGACCCGGCCCACCTCTTTGCCCGCCAACGATTCGGTTCCGGGAAGAATCTCCCAGGAACGCGGCAGCGAAACGTCGGACATCGCCGTGCCCGAACGACGACGACGGAGCGCTGGCCGGGGTTGGGGGGTTGATAAATAAATAAATAAAGGCGACGTCTACCTCCGAGATCCGGCCCCCCCCTTCTCCTTACGCCATGGGGGGTCGCCCCCCACTCCTGCCTGGAGCCCACGTGGGGCTGTTGGGGCGAGTGTTGTCACGGCGCACGACGGCGTTGTGGGCAGTGCCGGATTACACTCGTAGCACAAGTAGCTACTACACGTGTGTAGTAGCTACACATGTGTAGTAGCTACATGTGTAGTAGCTTCTTGTGTAGTAGCTACACGTGTAGTAGCTACCACACATGTAGTAGCTACACGTGTAGTAGCTACCTGTGTAGTAGCTACACGTGTAGTAACTACACATGTAGTAGCTACACATGTGGTAGTTACTACACGTGTAGTAGCTACATGTGTAGCAGCTACACATGTGGTAGCTACATATGTAGTAGCTACTACACATGTAGTAGCTACATACATGTAGTAGCTACACGTGGTAGTTACTACACGTGTAGTAGCTACGGGCCCCGCACTTTCAAGGGCCCCGCGCTAAATGCTTTCAAGCTATCAATTCCGGTTCAGTGAATCTGCACTTGCTCTATCACTATAGTACTATACCGCCTTCAATTTTAATGAACGACTGGGCGTTTAAGGTGAGCGATTTGTCGTATTATCTGGCTGCGTAGCAAATAAAAAACAATACAATGACTTTACTACGCAGGTTAACAATGTTTGCGTTTTAATATTCGCGTGCTTTTTAAATTTTATTCAGGGCCCCTTTATAACATAATCCTACAGGCCCCGCACGAGTTTAATCCGGCACCGGTTGTGTGGGGGGGGGGGGGGTGGTCGGCACCACGCCGTGCGGCCGCACCAGCTTGCTCATCGAGGGCTCCGGGTCGTTCCTTCGAGGGGGAGAGCCCGGGACCGGTTCGGATATTTCTCGCCGCCCGCAGGTCCGATGGGTCGATCGAACGCGGCCGTGAGTCACCTCGAGCCACGTTTGCGCAGGGATGGTTTGGGTTGGAGTGGGGGGGGGGCTCTCTCTGTCTGTTCAGTTCCTACCTCCTCGAATCTTCCACTAAGTGCAAAACACCACCCCATGGCGATTTGAATTTGAGCTCTTTTCAAATCACCAAGCTGGTGTTTGGTTCCACCGCGATGATTTGAAGGTTGGTACAAAACACCAGCTCTGAGCTCAAGTTGAAATCACCAAGGATGGAGCCAAACACCACCTTGGAGTCAAACACCACCTTGAAATCACCACGGGAGGAGTCAAACACCACCGTTGGTGATTTCAACTTGAGCCCTTCAAGTGGGGGGTTTTAAAAATAAAAATATTAAAATTAAAATAAATTTCTATTTTAAAATCGTGACGTTTTGAAGATAATTTCGGCCACGTGCGATTTCGTCGTGTTGAACATTTCGGCCACGTGACTGTCGGAGTCAACGCCCTGACAAAGCGACGCCGTCGCGACCCTGGAGGGCAACGCAACGCAGCGCAGACGGAGTCGCCGCTTGGGGCAGAATATCACGAGGCGGATGAGCGGCGCCTCCTCCCCAGAGGTCGCAAACGGGTTTTGATTCCTTACCCGTACCCGACCGCACCAGGGTCACAAACGGCGACCCGTTCCCTATCCGAAATGAGTGACAAACGGCTACTCACCAGTGACTCACGGCCTACCCGTACCCGTACCCGACCGCACCAGGGTCACAAACGACTACCCGTACCCGGCTGGGTACGGGTAGCCGGGTATCGGGTAGGGTACGGGTATTGGGTATCTGGTTGCGACCTCTGCTCCATCCCCTCCACAAACCGCTTGGCGTTGTTCGCGCGTGCTGTCCGTCAGAACCAGGGCGCACGCGGACCAAGCGATGCCCCTTTTTGGCCTGTTGGGTCCTGCAAACAGATTTATCCAGCGCATTGAGGCTCGCTCTGCTCCCCACGGCACATCTGAACGTCGGAGAGTTTGTTGTTGTTGTTTGTTGTTGTTGCTCGCGCCGCTTGACATGTACGCACTGCGCATTCGTGCGGCCGACGGTTCGTGCACAAGCCAAGCGG